TGAAATTTTATGTATGGTATAAAGTAAGGGTGGCTTAGTTTATTGGGGTATTATAACAAAAGTAGCATAGTCTGGATGGCTTATTAACAACAGCAATTGATTTCTCACGGTTCTGGGACTGGGAAGTCCCAGATTAGTACCGAGGCAGATTCAGTATCTGATGAGGGTCTGCTGCTGGTCCTCACAGGTGGCCATCTTCTCAGTATAACCTCACATGCAGAATGGGTAAGGGAGTTTTTGGGGGTCTCTTTAATAAGGGTGCTAATCCCATTTATGAGGGTTCCATCCTCATGACCTAATTAAACTCAAAGGCCCCTCCTCCATAATCCATCACATTGGAGATTGGAATTTCAACATGAATTTTGGGGGAATACAAGCATCCAGTCCTATAGCAAGGGGTTGAGATATATTTTTCCCATGTAGATATCAAACTCAGCCAGGGGCTTATACATTTTATTTTATTATTTTTATGCTGGCCAGTCCAGTACTCCCCCTCCCCCAATAAAATTGAGGGTCAGAGAGATTAACTCACCTGAAAGTAGTTGATAGCCAAATAAGAACCCAGATCATCTTATTTCTGCATTTTTATCATGCCATCTCAATTCACTGGACATTCTTATTCATTACTCCAACTTCTTCCATTCTTACCCCTTCAGTGGTTAAGAACATTGCTTCTGGAGTCACACTGATCTAGGTTGGAATCCCAGATGTACAACTTATTCCTTGTATGACCCTGGGCAAGTAACTAAAGCTCTCTGAAGCTCACTGCCTTCATCTGTTAAAATGGGGGTGCATATTAATCTGATTTATTTAGGTAAGGCTATATAAAAAGTAATCTCAAATCCCAGTAGTATCCAAAAGCAAAGTTTTGCCACTGGTGTGGCTCAATGGTTGAGTGTCAACCTATGAACCAAAAAGTCCTGGTTCAAAGCCTGGTCTGGGCACATGCCTGAGTTTCAGGCTCTATCCCCAATATGGAGCATGCAGGAAGCAGCCTATCAGTGATTCTCTCTCATCATTGATGTTTCTGTCTCTCTCTCCTCCCTTCCTCTCTGATATCAACAAAAAATATTTCTTAAAATATTTTTTGAAAGAAAGAAATGTGACATGTTAAATGTGGGCTGATTCACATCTCTTTTCCTTCCAGGATCCAGAGGGAAGGAAGGAGGGAGCAGCCCCATCCGGGACAGGGAATTCTCATGAGAGTGGAAATAGATCAAGAGAGCTCGTGAAAACACATAACGACTCTTAACGCTTCTGCTCAGATGTGTTGAAAGTCACTTCTATTCACATTCTACTGGCCAAATGAAGTCACATGATCCATGTTGACATCAGTGAGGCTGGAAAGGACACTCATAGGACACATTGCAGTTATCTGGTGACAGGTGGTGATATATAATCCTTAACAGAAAGAGCACTTTCCTGGCAGCTATTATGAGAATTAAATGAGGTGAAGCACGTTCAAATGCTTAATAAAATATTCTGCACTTAATAAGGACACAAAAACTGTTAGATGCTATTGTTGTTATTACCTCCCATTTCTGTTGAAACGTTTTCTGTTCACTAGACTGGGCTAATCCTGACTTATGAGGAAGAAAACTTGTGATTACTCCTGATCTGCAATCTTCAGACAATAAGTCTAATGGCACAGGTTTTGGAGTCATACGGACTCCTTATTAGAGCAGGTGATCTTAGACAAGTTACCCTCTCTGATCTTTAGTTTCCTCAACATGAGAATGAGGATCCTTGGGACTCTGTTGTAGACTTGCCATTAGGTCTAAATTAGACCAATCCTCTGACACAGTACGTGCTGAGTATCTGGGGAATTACTGAATGTGGATTTTAGACTACTTTCAAACATTCAATGAACTGTAATAATTTATAACTACAAAACTGCTGTATGGAAAGCCCTTTACCATCTTTTGGGTCTCAACTCAATTGTCACTTCCTCAGAGTCCTGCCCTGACTCCACAAAAGTGCCTCCCCCACCTCCAGTCACTTCTCTCTGTTTTCTTGTCACAACCCTGGTAATGTTCTGAAACTGTCTTGTTCACTCATTGATTTACTTAATATCTATCTCTATCACTGCAAAGGAAGCTCCGTGAAGTCAGGGATCTTGTTTTACTAATATGCATCCTCACCCCCTGCCCTGGGCCTCAGCATCCTCACCCATAACCTGCGGGGCGGAGCCAGGAAAAGAGAAAGGGGAATGCCGCCTGGTCCACCTGAGCCTCACGCTCCGCCCACCCACCTGAGCTGCAGTGGGACTCCGCCCCGCTGGCAGGATGGGCGTGGTCTCCAATGTTGTGTCCGCCGCGTGCTGGCTGTCGTCAGCGGGAATAGAGTGACGTCATACGCACGCAGGCCCGGCCCTGCCCCAGGCGGAAGGGGGCGTGGCCAGGCGCGAGGTCCCCGCAGCCGCCGGCGCGGCCGCCTGACTCGCCTCCAGGTGGCTGCTCTCCGCTCTCGGCCGCTCAGGCAGCTCGGAAGCCACTCTGTTTTGGGGTCCTCGCTGCCCTTCCACGTCTCCCGGAAGAGCAGCCGGGCCGTGGCGGGGCCGTGGCAGGTGCGGGCACGGCTTGCTCAGCCGGGGCGCTCTCCCGGCGGGCTGCTGCGGGGGCGGCCCAGGAGTCCTCAGGTGCAACCGCTCCGCAGTCCTCAGGTGAGGAGGTGGCGGGGGCCCGGTGGGCAGGACCGGTCCGCTTGGGGCGTTCATGGCCTGAGACGCGGGGGCGGCGTCCCCTCAGCGGAGTCTTTGGTCCCCGCCGGGTGGCGGTGGCCTGAGTGAGGAAAGGGGCCTCAGCCGACTTTGTTTAGGGGCCTCCCCTCTCCTCCCTTCCCCGCCCCGAGTCTGGCAGGACCGCTCTTCGCCTTCCGGGGGCTCGACCAGGTAGGTGGTGGGAGCGGAGTGGGGATCTGCACTCGCCTCCCTGGGATCCGCCGACGGTCACTCCCTGGGACCGACCCTCCGACGCCAGCTTCCCTTCCTCTGGGCGGACGCCGGTCCTTCCGGCCGGCCCTGCCGCCCGGCCCCGACCCCGGCCCCGTCCCCGTCCCCGCGGCCTCTCCTCACCCCCGCGCGGGCCGGGTCCCGGGGCATCGGCCGCGGGATCTTTTGAGGGGTTTGGACCTCTCAGTCCGTTCGGGATGTTTGTCAACCGGGCCGGTCAGTGCCCAGGGCCCTTCTCGGTATTTGTTTAATTGGGTCATTACCTCGACGCCACAGGCCTTCGCTTTAAAGCCCTGTGAACTTTAAAACGAGAGGCGCCGTGTAAGGAATTAATAAGTGTTTGTGCTTTATTAGCAGAGAGACTTTGCCTGCGACGCCACCAGTGTTTACGTGAGAATAAGGGATCCTTTACGTCTGTAGGGGTTTTAGATGTTACAAAGCATTTCAGCTCCCTTTTTTCACTTGATTTCACCTACACTCTCTGAACTACCCAGGGAGTTCATTTAGTCCCATTTCTTTCATAAGGAACAGCTTGGAAGGGTTTCTTGAGGTTATTCGCATACTGAGCGACTAGATGGGAAAGGCGGGGATTAAAAAGTGGGTCTGGCTGATGTAGGCTTGAGTATCTGAGCTGCCATGTCAACTGCGATCTTTCTAAACCTTTTCCCCACTTGTGGGTGGTGGGGAAGATACATGTGTTGCTACTACCGCATAAGGTGGGTGTGAAAGTGATGTGCTGAATGCTTGCCCAGCATCTGACATAAAAATTCCATTCGGCAGTATTTATGGGTGCTTACTGTGTGCTAAATGCTAGGAATTAATTGGTGAGCAAAATAGGGCCTTTACCCACCTCCTCCCCTTCCCTGAGAGGGAGAGAAAGAAAAGAAACATAATTATAAAACAAAAAAAGGGCCTATGACCGAAAAGAGTAAGTGTGAGCACAGAATGATAAGACCTGATTTACATGGAAAGAAAAAGGTTTGGGGAGCAGATGACAATTCAAGGGGAGATTAAGAAGCAGAGAGAAAATGAAAGTGTTCCAGGCAAAAGGAACAATGTGCACATTCAAGAAATGTTATCTTTCTTGATCTTTTATATAGATATATATTTCAGAGAGGAAGGGAGAGGGAAAGAGAAATATCAATGATAAGAATCATGGATCAGCTGCCTCCTGGGCTCCCCCTACTGGGGGTTAAGCCCCAACTCCAGCATGTGCCCTTGACCAGAATCGAATCTGGGACCCTTCAGTTCACAGGCCAACACTATCCACTGAGCAAAACTGGCTAGGGCTGTTTGCTAACTTTTTAATACAGGACTCTTTCTTCTATATCACACGGATTACTTGTCATTACTCAGATTCATTGTGTCAAGCTGTAAGTACTCAAACATATAATCAAATGAATGTCTATGCAGTCCTATTTTTTAAATTCTTAATTTTGCTTAATGTGCACATGGTAGGTAGTGAGTATTTAACTTATTGAAAGTGTGCTTTAGACAGATTATGTGCACACCTTAAATTATCCATTTTAGTTCTGCATTTAAAAAATAGATTTTGTATTAATCAGAAGTTTCTTCTTATTGGGTTGCACTGAAATTTTGCTGTATTAGATGCTCTTTGGGTGCTTTTGCTCCATTAACATTTATCCTTTTGTTGAAATAGTAATAACAATAGTGGTAGTTGTAATTATGGCACTAGGAACTACTAAACTGAGTGCCTATTGTGTACCAAACTTCCCTTAGAGTGTTTTTATGTATCATTTCATTTTAAAAATATCCTATAATGTAGGTACATTTATTTTACTCATTTTCTAGATAAAGTGTCTCAGTTTCAATAAAGGAGTTTACTCAACATTACATAGCTAGTAAGAAGCAGAGCTAGGCATTCAACCTAGGTGAGGCAGGGGCCCAGTGGCAGGACCGGTCCGCTTGGGGTGTTAATGGCCTGAGACTCAGGGGCCGTGTCCCCTGACTCCAGACTCTGCTGTTACACCACACTGATCACTTCGTGTCCTTTTTACAGGTTCACCCATAGGACTATTCTGCTGCCATCATGTCCTGGCTTGCTGACCTTGCTGGAAAAGCAGAAGATCTTTTAAACCGAGTCGATCAAGGGGCTGCAACAGCTCTCAGTCGAAAAGAGAACACCAGCAGCAGCACATACAGCAAAAATACCGACTATCCTGAACTTCACCAGCAAAATGCAGACTTGACTTACCAGCCTGAATCTAAAGCTAATTATATCTCCTCAGCAGCTGATAACATTAGGAATCAAAGAGCCACCATCCTAGCTGGCACCACAAATGTGAAAGCGGCACCGAGGACATCAGGGGAGACCTCCCGTTCTGTTGAAAACTCATCTGTTCCCAGGCCTTCGTCCCAGTTTGTTCGGAGAAAAAAGTCAGAACCTGATGATGAGCTGCTGTTTGATTTTCTTAATAGTTCACAGAAGGAACCTGCTGGGAGGGTGGAAATAAAAAAAGAAAGGGGCAGGCCCCCTGTCCTCCAGAGTTCTCAGACTACAAGCGCCAGCGCCGACAACACCAGCGTAACCACCGTCAAAGCCACTGAAGAAAATGCTGGGAGCCAAAGCCATGGTAGCTAATGAGTCCTTCGTTTATTGTAGAGTTAAGCACATTGGATGTGTCCTCCCAGCCTAATACGTTCTGGTAGTGTTTCTCGTCCTCGTGTTGTCCCCCGTCCCCACTGGTGGAAGGGCAGGCTCTCTGTCAGTCAATATGCAATTATAATAGGGACCTTTGAATTTTATCTGTAGGCTAATTCCCCCAGCATCTGAGAAATTACATCCAAAATGATCCTCTTAACATATTTTAAGGTACGAAAAAAAAACAATTCTGAAATACGAAAGAAAACGTAATTTTGGATTTGGAACTTTCTCAGTTCATTTCTTTTTGTCATTGGGATTATAAAAATGGCAGGAGGCTGTACTTCACATATATATTTCCCCCCCCACATATATTCTTCATTATCAGTTTTTTCTGTATTCCACCCAGAAGTAAAACAGACTGAACCGTGATCCAAGTTCATTTAAATTGCTGTGAAATTACCTCTACCTTGACATCTGCTCATCTGCAGAGAGGAGGTTAACGTGTTAATGTGGCTAATTCAAGTACCTACTAACTATTTTTAAATGGCAATAAACATGATAGGTTCCTACAGGGATTCCTTATAAAGTTGGTGATTAATGGAAGCTTGTAACGTTCTTAAATGTTACAGTTTCTCTCACAGTCTTGGCTGCCAGGGAATAAAATAAGCCTTGTATCTGTAAGATAAAAAAAGTGATAAAGGTGACCTCTTAGGGCTTTTAAGACAGGCGCATGTAGTAGCAGTTGATTAATTATGCACACTTCTAAATTTCTTCTCAGCTATCTTTTCAGTGGTTATACAAACATTGAGAACCTAATCGAAACCTAATAGTTTCAAATACACTATGTAAGTGAATGAAGTGGTTCAGAATCTCTTGGGTGAGATAGACGTGTTAACATAATTTACATATAGTGCCATAAATGCAGTAATTGAGGTAATGCCAGAGGGTGCTGAAAATATAAAGGAGAAAGCAACTAATTGCCTAAGTTTTCAAGTCAGGGTTCAGAGGGTCTGTAATTGGAGCTTTGTCTTTAAGAATGGATTGGAGAGAGCATCCCCCGCAGAGATCCTTTACGTTTGTTAGTGTTGTTCTGGGAACCCGGAGTGTGAGCTAGATTCCTATAAATCATTTTTTGTTAAAAAGTGGTCCCTGGACTTCTTGCATTAGAATCACTTGTGTGCTTAATAAAAAATGAATTATTGGGTGTCTCCCCAGACCTCCCGATTCAGATTTTCTGGGGATGGAGTCAGGGCATCTAAATTTTTCTTGACTTTTAGGTGGTTGCTAGGCCCGTAAAAATTGCAAGTACCATAGCAATGTGATACTAAGAGAGGTTTTTTAAGCCTAGATTTGACTTGAATTATTTTTCTACTTTTAAGGAAAACAGCTTACATTTTAATTGTAAAGGAGGGATCAACCTGATTGACAGGGATGTAGGTGAGAGAACCAGTTAATACATGGGAGTTACGATAATTGTTTTGTTTCTCTAAGGCAGAGTCTCTCAATTTTGTGACTGTTGACAGTTAGGCTGCATAATTCTTTGTTGTAGGGGACTGACTGTCCTATGAACATTAGATGACAGTAGCACCCTAAGCTGTGACAAGCAAATATGTCTTCATACATTAACAAATGTCCTTTGGGGGGCAAAATCACCCCAGGTTGAAAAGTTCACTCTCAGCTCCTTAGAAGTGGAATTGTAGGATGTGACAATGTTCAAATACACTAGTAACAAACACCAAGCTGTTTTCTTAAAAGGTTGTACCAATTTATAATTCACCAGCTGTGACTTAAGAGTTTCTTTTGCTCTGTGTTCTCACAAAATTTGATCATTTTCAGTGAGACTTTTTATATTTTTCTAATCAGGTGTGATAATGACATTAGATTTTTACTTCTCTCATTGCTCTATGAGGTTAAGCATCTTTTCAAATATTTGACTATTTGGGTTTCATATTTTGGGAAGTAGTGAAAACCTACTTTTTCAAAATGACCACGCTTTTTCTTTTTTCTTTTTTTTCCTTTTTTTTTTCTTTTCTTTTTTTTTTATCATTTTCCCCCAGTGGATTATTGATTTAGCTTCCTTTGTAAAGTCATTATTTTAGTCCATTTTAATAATTAACTATAGTCCACATTTTAATATCTATTTTTTTTTTTTAGTAAGGAAAAATATATTTGCATCATATTTATCGATAGTAGCAAATTAAAAACAGGGTGAATCTGAATTCCTGATTCATCTGAGGGTTTCTTTGAATAAGGCATTTAGATTCCAGTTTGCTCTGACCTATTATTAACTCTCCTTGTCTTGAAACCCACAGCTGTTCTTTTGTGCCTTTCCAATATTTCAATATTGAGACTTCTTTTTTTCAAAAAAGTTTGGAGACAAAAGTGAGACCACAAAAGTGAGATTCTAGTCACCTAAATTATCCCTGATTTTATATTTTCCAGAACTATATTCTTTATATATATATTTCTTTATTGATTTCAGAGAGGAAGGGAGGAGAGAAACATCAATGATGAGAATCATTGATTGGCTGCCTCCTGCACGCCCCCTACTGGTGATTGAGCCTGAAACCCAGGTTTGTGCCCTTGACTGGAATCAAACCTGGGACCTTTCAGTCCGCAGGCTGACCAGCTCCATCCGCTGAGGCAAGGCATGTAGGGCTGTATTCTTTTTTAAGTGTATTTTTTAAATGATTTCAGAGAAGAAGGGAAAGGGAGAAAAGGATAGAAACATCAATGATGAGAGATAATCATTGATTTGTTGACTTCTGCATGCCCCCTACTGATGATCAAGCCTGAAATCCTGGCACGTGCCCTGATTGGGAATGGAACCATGACCTCCTGGTTCATGGTTTGACACCGAACCACTGAGCCACACCAACTGGAGCAGAACTGTATTCTTGTATCTATTCCTTATTACCATTCAGTGTATCCAGGATCCTTATAAGTCTATAGGTTCCATCAATAAGAATGAAATTTCATTAGATGAAAGTCTATAGAGAATTTAAGTTTTCTTTTTATGGTATTTTAGCTATAGTAGTCCACATGAGCCAAAAGGCATTCTACCAAAGTAGACTATTAATATCTATGTAGTAAGCATTTCAATGTAACAAAAATGTACTCCCTTTTCACAGAAGCCTCTAGTAATTCAGATTCTGGCCATGAAATCCAAGAGGATTCTTCAAAGGACACTGTATCATCAAATGCTTCCTGCATTAATCACAACCAATCATTACCTACTGATGATGGCAAATCCCATGAACTGTCTAATCTTCAACTGGAGAATCAACTGCTGAGGAATGAAGTTCAGTCTTTAAATCAAGAAATGGCCTCATTACATCAAAGAGCCAGGGAAACTCAAGAAGGTATGGCCTTATATTGCCCAAGATTAGAAAGTTAAAATTTCAAAAATAAACTAAAACATTGGTTACAGGTAAGCTATTAGAAATACGTTAGATGTACTCAGTTGATTAGAACTTTATCCCGATACCCCAAGGTTGTGGGTTCAATTCCCAGTCATGACACATACAAGAAATATGTTAGATGAGACTTGTAAAATAGTGTTTTCATAGAAACAGGGTCCAGATTTGCAGATGGGACCAATCTTCCTCTCACCAACCAAAGAAGAAAACATGGGCTTGTTTGGTCATGCTTCTTTTTTTTTTTTTTTTTTTTTTTTTTTTTTAATACTAGAGGCCCAGTGCATGAAATTGGTGCATGGGTAAAGTCCCTAGCAGCTATCAGCTGCTGGCCAGGGTCTCCCTTTGCATTATCTTTGGCCTAGCTCTGCCCGCTCACCTGCTTCACCATCCTGCCACGGTCCCACTCTTGTCAGGGCCCATTGGGCCTGGTAGCACCTCCACTGCCAGTGCCATATCACTGACACCCGCCATATTCCAGGCCACCCCTGGTGGTCAGTGCATGTCTAACTCCTGGTTGGTTGAACCCCTGCCCCTAGGGACAATTTGCATATCAGCCATTGATTATATAGGATATTTTTATTGATTTCAGAGAGAAAGGAAGAGATAGAGAAACATCAGTGATGATAGAGAATCATTGATGGGCTGCCTCCTGCACACCCCCTACTGGGGATCAAACCTGCAACCTGGGCATGTGCCCTGAATGGGAATCGAGCTGTGACTTGGTTCATAGGTTGATGCTCAATCATTGAGCCATACCAGCTGAGCAGAGCTTGTGCCTTTTTTTTTTCTTTTTTTTTTCTTTTTTCTTTTTTTTTGTTGTTAATTCTCACCCAAGGATATTTTTCCATTGATTTTTAAAGAGTGGAAGGGAGAGGGAAAGAGAGAGAGAAACATTGATGTGAGAGAAACATTGATTGGTTGCCTCCCGCATGTACCCCAACCAGGTCCAGGAATCTGCAACCAAGGTACATGCCCTTGATCAGAATCAAACCCGGAACTCTTCATTCAGCAGGCTGATTCTCTATTCATTGAGCCAAACCAACTAGGGCTCCATTGATTTTCAGAGGGTGTGAAAGGGAGAGGGAGAGACAGAGAGAGAAATATTGATGTGAGAGAGACTCATCGATTGGTTGCCTCCCACACATATCCCAATCCAGGGCCAGGGATTGAGTCTGCAACCAAGGTATGTTCCCTTGGCTGAAATTGAATCCAGGACCTTTTAGTCCATGGGCTGATGCTCTATCCACTGAGCCAAGCCAGCTAGTGTTGGTTATTCTTTTAAGAGCTATGAAATTTAAGAACTCAGGAGAACAGAACATTAGTAATCATCTGATTCATTTGGCTGATTTGTTTTGAACTTTCTAGGAATTGTTCATGAACCAAAGGCAGGATTTAAACAAAATAGTGGACACTAGCCAGTGAGGCACTGTTTTGCCCTGCTTTAGGGGACATAAAATGAATATGGATTATGCAGTGCAGTGGCTTTAGTGTACAAAACCCTCAATTGCTCAGAAATGGGTAATTAAAAAGTAACTCCATAACAAAAAATAAAATAAAAATAAAAAGTAATCCCATGATAGAGGTAATGATGGAGAAATATATTAATGTTATTGTAAGCGTGGCTGAGGAGAACAAAAGGAAAGAAATCTGCCTTGATTCCTGGGAGTGATTAGAAGAAATATGGGAGGGTAGACAAATTTTTGCCAAGACATGGATGAGGCCCTGAAGAGCGCATTAGGAAGGTAGTTTAAGTCTTGTTAGACTGACTTTAGAAAAAGCTTTACTTTACCCAGACTAATGTAGTCAAAGAGATAGAGCATTTCCTGAGATCCTGTAGCGTTTTCTTCAATATTAAAAACTAAGTTTGTTTTGCTGGAAAACTCAACCATAGATGGCATGTGAGGGTGTGGAAAGCTGTACTGCATTGCTCTTTCTGAATCAGTTTCCTAGGTTAAAAGAATCTTTTTGCCACAGTAATGGAAAGAAACAGATTCTTTTCTGTGCTGCCGTGGTTTGGTTTGGTCTTGCGGGGGTGTACAATATCTACCCTTATTGGGGCCTACATTTTTTGTTGTCTCTAGCAGAACTCTACAAATTCACTGGCCTAAAACTTTCTGCTATCTCTGGTTCTTTGATCTCCAAATGGTTTATGATATATCTGCCGAAAAAAAACATTTGTAGAAGAGCAGTTGGCATCATGCACCTTTCCAACCTGTTACCGGTAATACTAGTATAGATGTGAATATTGGCCTTGAAAAATGGGAGCAAAAACTTTGAAGATATTTGTAAGCTTCTAATTTCAGCAAGAAGTAAAGTTCTAAAGAGACTTAAAGGAGAATTTGTGTGTGCTCTGAAAAAAAATGTTTGCTCTAATACAGAAACCACTTTTTTTTTTTTTTTTTTTTTTTTTTTTTTAGAATTAAACAAAGCAAGAGCAAGAGTTGAAAAGTGGAATGTTGACCATTCAAAGAGTGATCGAATAACTCGAGAACTTCGAGCCCAAGTAGATGACCTGACTGAAGCGGTGGCTGCAAAGGATTCCCAGCTGGCTGTGCTGAAAGTGAGACTCCAGGAAGCTGACCAGCTACTGAAGACTCGCACAGAAGCTTTAGAAGCTTTACAGAGTGAAAAGTCACGGTAGCTAATGCTGTTAACAATGAAAAAAATGAGCTAGATGATTCTCTTTTTCCAACACAAGTAATGATAAGCACTGTAGTGCATACTACCTAATGAAAATTTAACTTTTGGAAATTTGTATTTCCAAAATTCAGCTTTTATTAATGTTGGAAATATGTGTGTTAAAAGTGGATTTATTATTTGAATCTTGAGATGCATTGTTAGCAAATTCTGAATTTAAAAATATTTAAAGATTGTCAAATATAAGTGGTTATATTTATGTTATTACCTAAAAATGTAGATGACATTCCATTAGAGGGAAAATATTTCTTTAAGAATGTTTTAGTCAAACTACCCCTTTTGTGCTAACAAGCCAACACTCTAAAAATTATTCTATCTTGTCACTTGTACTTTGTGCAAATGAGTTATTTCAAGTGATGCATTTTCGTTTAGAATAACGCAGGATCACAGCGAAGGGAGTAGCCTGCAGAATCAAGCTCTGCAAACCCTTCAGGAGAGACTGCATGAAGCGGACGCCACTCTGAAGAGAGAGCAGGAGAGCTATAAGCAAATGCAGGTTAGAATGGGAGACAACAGTTCTTTTGTTATTTGACCTTACACTGGTTCATTGCACATTTACTCTTTAATAAAGTTCTGCAGTGTATTTCAGAAAATTTTGTTTCTGTGATAGTAACAGAGTATTTGAAAATTTAGCTTGATCCTTGCTAAATTTACTTTAATTTTTTATATATTGAATACATTTAAAATAGGTTTATTTGTTTATCAAATTATAAGAAAAAGTTTATTTAAAAAATTACAGAGGTAGCTGGGCCACGTGGGCTTACACTGTAACAAGTTACAAAGGCAGGAAGAAGGGCCCTTGGAGCTTAGGAGAGAGACAGGCAAAGGTAATGCGCCCGCCTTACACCTCTGTGGGGAAGAAGAGGAGGACGGGAAAGGCGCTGGCTTGAGAGAGAGAGAGAGAGAGAGGGAGGGAGCGAGCGGGCTTAAAATAGTTAATATTCACTAGAGTAGACATCTTTCCTTTAATGTGGTTTGCAACCAACATTACCATTATTTGATTAAAAGCTGATTTGGAGCATCTGGTTTATTCTTTGTATTTAAGCCTTTAGTGATTCCAGTTTAATCTGATGATTTTAAGACAAAATTGTACATAATATTTAAGTTTACTCTTAAATTTATTTTTGCATCTACTTCAGTGATTATCAACCCTGTCTACACATTAGAATTACCTGAGTAGCTCTTACTACCTTCTAATGCCCAATGTCCACTCCCAGAGAGCGGTCCCATTGGAGTTTTGGTCTTACGGATTCATAGATAAACACACACACACCACACACACACACACACACACACACACACACACACACACCTTATTTTCCGGCGTATAAGACGACCCCCTAATTTTACAGTTAAAACATAGGTTTAGGCCTATATTCGCTGTATAAGACTACCCCCCACTTCCGAGGCAACACCAGTTCTTTTTTTAATAGACCGCCTCTCTGACTCTGGCCAATCTGAGCAGGCTTTTTACTAGAACACAGTGTAGCTTCGGGTACAGAACATGTATAATTTGCATGCATAAAAAGCCTGCTTGGATTGGCTGAGTTAGAGAGGCGGTCTATTAAAAAAAGAACTGGTGTTGCCTCGGAAGTGGGGGGTAGTCTTATACAGCGAATATAGGCCTAAACCTATGTTTTAACTGTAAAATTAGGGCGTCGTCTTATACGCCGGAAAATACGGTAATAGGCAGCCAGGGTCCACTGGTCTAGGCTAGCTGTTAAAGAGGGGGAAATAATTTAGCCCTGAAGTAAAATATCAGCTAATGTGAGTTAAAAAAATTATTGATATATTTTAACACATTATATATAAAGCGCTACATCTCATGTAGTTAACGTTAAAATTTATTAATGAGATTTTTAAAAAATATATTTCATTGATTTTTTATAGAGAGGAAGGGAGAGGGATAGAAAGTTAGAATCATTGATGAGAGAGAAACATCAATCAGCTGCCTCCTGCACACCCCCTACTGGGAATGGGCCCGCAACCAAGGTACATGCCCTTGACTGGAATCAAACACGGGACCCTTCAGTCTATATGCCGATGCTCTATCCACTAAGTCAAATCGGTTTCGGCTAATGAGATTTTTTTGCATTCTTTTTTTGCCTACTGAGTCTTTAAAATAATAGTGTTTTACACTTAATTCAGTCATTTTTTCTGAAGTATTTGATTTGTATTTAGATTTCATAAAATTTACAGGTGAAAGACTAAATCTGATAACTACATTGTTCTAAACATACTCAGAAATTTTTCGATAATAGGCAGTTCCTTTAAACATTAAATATAGACCTACCATATGACCCAGCAATTCAACTCCTAGGTATGTACCTAAGAAAATTGAAAATATATGTCCACACAAGAACTTGTACATAAATTTTCATAGCATTCATTTTTTTCTTTTACTTAAAAAAATTATATTGTTGAAAGTATTATAGATGATCCCTTTGTTTTGTTTTCCCATTGACCCCTCTCGACCCCACACCCACTCCTCCTGGGCTATGCATATATGCATGTAAGTTCCCCGGTTAATTCCCCCTCCCCACCTCTCACCTTCCCTCTGAAATTTGTCATGCTTCTTTGTTTCTGGATCTATTTTGTTTGTCAGTTTATTTTGTTCATTAGGTTCATATGAGTGATATCTGTGATACTTATCTTTCTCTGAGTGGCTTATTTCACTTACTATAATACTCTCCAGTTTCATCCATGCTGTTACAAATGGTAAGAGTTCCTTTTTTATAGCCACATAGAATTCCATTGTGTAAATACACTGCAGCTTTTTTTTATCAGAGCATTATTCATAATCACCCCAAATTAGAAACAGTCCACGTGGCTATGAGTTGCTGAATAGATAAACAAAATGTGGTACATCTATACAAGGATATATTTAAAAGGAACTCTTACCATTTGTAACAGCATGGATGAAACTAGGGAGTATTATGGTAAGTGAAATAATGAGTTGTTGATTTATGCTAAACATGAAAATATTAAAATATTTAAAATATTATGTTAAGAAAGAAAACAAACACAAAGGCCACATATTGGATGATTTCATTTGTATGAAGTGTCCAGAATAGCAAACCCATAGAGTAAGAAAGTAGACTGATGGTTTCCAGGGACTGGGAGGGAGGGAGAAATAGGTAGGAGATTTATTTTGGGGGTAAAAATGTTCTGAAATTAGGAATGGTAATGGTTGCATAACTCTGTGAATACACTAAAAATAACTGAATTGTATACCTTAAAAGAGTGAAGTTTATGGTATGTGAATTATATCTGAATAAATCTGTTGTTAATTGAATTGAATAATTAAATTAACTAATATAATGTGACATTAGTTTTTGTTTAAATTTAAATTAGTTAAAATGAGTAAATGTAAAAATTCCATTCCCAGTTGAATTAGACACATTGCACATGCTCAGTAGACAGCAGCAGTAGTTCTCTTGCTCCTTTTCTTTAAAAGAGGAGCTAATATTGGATCAAAGGTTTGTGGGCTATAGTTTATTGTCATGTAACGATAAATGCTTTCTGACTTCTGCCTCATCTCCTGCGTTATTTCAATGATGGGAGCTTTTGAGAAAAAGGGTAAATTATAAATCTCAGAACCACATAGGCTAGTAAGTGACAGACATGTTTTCTTGAGTGTGCTTTAAAAGTTTCTTAAGTTAAAATATTACATTGACTAGCTTATTAGAAATTTTAAAATGGAAAACATTAGCTATGCTGTTTGAAAAGATATAACTGTTTACTTAGGTCTTCTATTTGTTTTCATTTTTTAAAATATATTTTTATTGATTTCAGAGAGGAAGTGGGGGGGAGAGAGAGAGAAACATCAGTGACGAGAGAGAATCATTGATCGGCTTTCTCCTGCATGCTTCCTACTGGGTGTCAAGCCCATAACCCAGGCATGTGCCCTTTGACCAGAATTGAACCCAGGACCCTTCAGTCCAAAGGCTGATCCTCTATCCACTGAGCCAAATCAGCTAGGGCAGTGGTCGGCAAACAGAGCCAAATATCAACAGTACAATAATTGAAATTTCTTTTGAGAGCCAAAGTTTTTAAGCTTAAACTTCTTCTAACACCACTTCTTCAAAATAGTGAAGAAGTGATATTTTGGCTCAAGGGGCCAAAGAGCCGCATGTGGCTCTTGAGCCACAATTTGCCGACCACGGGGATAGGACTTTCATCTGTTTTCTACTAGACTTTCTAGTTCTCTGTAAACCCCATTCTTCATTGATCAGCTAATATCAGATCAGATCTGGTATCCAAATGACCAGATTCACCTGGGAAATTCTTAAAAAACAGATTTCCAAGCCCAGTCTTGGAAATTCCAATTCAGTAAACCTGGGGAGACCTTGGATGGCTGTACTTCTAACAAACTCCCTAATTATTTTGATACATTGCTGTGTTTGGGAGCACAGTTTTTAACAAATGAGTGTTTTTTTTGTGTGTGTGTGTGTGTTTAAAAATATATATATTCTTATTGATTTCAGAGAGGAAGGGAAAGGGAGAGATAGAAACATCAGTGATAAGAGAGAATCATTGACTGGCTGCCTTCTGCGCACCCCACACTGGCGATTGAGCTTGCAACTGGGGCATGTACCCTGGGAATCAAACCATGACCTCTTGGTTCACAGGTCAAAGCTCAACCACTGAGCCATGCTGGCCTGGCTGAAGAGTGTTTTTTACTTGCCTGTTATGTTATCAGGCTGAGCTACTAAGTCCCATAAGATACCTGAACAGATGGTTGTAACATATATCTCAAAGCAGACTGTTACAAGGGTGATATAAAAATTTTTCAGAGTGAGTTTGCTGCACGCCTGAATAAAATGGAAGTGGAACGTCAGAACTTGGCAGAAGCAGTTACTCTGGCAGAAAGAAAGTATTCCGATGAGAAGAAGAAAGTTGATGAGCTTCAGCAGCAAGTCAAGATGAATAAGTCCAACTTGGAGTCCTGTAAGCAGGAATTAATTGACTACAAGCAAAAAGCTTCTCGAATACTCCAGGTAAGCATGAAATGTACATGTTTGAATGTTAAGTATTATACCCATTAACTGGGAGATTCTTTGAGACTATAAGTCTGTGAGATGACTTGTTCATGTTTAGCTGGATTGGCTAAACATGGACAATATTCCTAAGTACTCTACTTAAAAATACTATAAAAAGAAAGAAATGTCTCTTACTCCTACCACTTTTTTATTTAAAATTCATGCTGCCACTACCTAGTTCAGGTCTGCCACCTGTCACCTTAATAATCACTGTGAGAATATTAATGTTTGTTGTTAAAACAGCCATTTTATTCTTCCTTGTTAATCCTCTGTTGAATTTTTTAAAATAACTGGTCTAGCCGGGACCGGTTTGGCTCAATGGATAGAGCATCGGCTTGGGGACTGAAAGGTCCCGGGTTCGATTCCGGTCAAGGGCATGTACCTTGGTTGCGGGCATATCCCCAGTAGGGGGTGTGCAAGAGGCAGCTGATCAATGACTCTCTCTCATCGATGTTTCTAACTCTCTATCTCTCTCCCTACAAAATCAATAAAATATATTTTAAAATAACTGGTCTAGGTTTCTTCCAGCTCTCAGAATTGCCTCATCCATCTTTGTTCCACTTCCTTAGATCTAAGGTGACCTTACCTTCTTTACTAAAAAAGAATGAAGTCAACAAGTATAGTTTTCAACTTCTCTTTCCTTTCCCTCTCACATCAGAGGGAAAACGTGTTCTTTCATTTTCTAGGGTAATTTTTCCGTCTGAGTATTGACTCCATTTCCTCCCATCTTATTTAAGCCCTTTCTCCACAAGTCTGTCCTCATGCTCTGTCTTTCTGCTGCTGCCTTTTTCTGGCTCAGCTTACTCAAGAGTACATGCTTTCTCAATGGAAGAACGAAGAAAAAGCATTTTGGCTTTTTGGACCACTTTGATCCCTTTGCCTGTTCTCCTTTCTTAACAGAATTATTGTATAATTACTGTCTTCATGTTAGAATTATTAACTTTAACTCCCCCATGCAGTTTCTGTCCTCACTACTTTTCTGAAATTATCTTCTCAAAAGTTTTTAATGACCTAAATGTGTATTTCCTGTCCTTTTCTTAATTTCCACCCACTTTGGTTTTGGTAGAGCATTTGATAATATTAACCCTCCTACCTTCTTGACACTCTTGCCTTCTGATGTGACCTGCACTGCCTTATCTCTCCTTTCTCTCTCACTGATGTTTCTGTCTCTGTTGGGCCTTCTCCCCAACCTCCAAAGAGGAAGTGTTCTCTCAAATTCTTAAGCCTCTTTTGTTATTCTTTCTTACTTTGCACTATCATATACTCACTCTGCTTCTGCCTCAGTGTGACTTCAGCATGTGTCCAGTCCTAACTTTTCTACCCCAGTTTCAAATATCTGCCATGGGACATTCCAACCTTCAAACCTGCTTCTCCTTCATTCTCCTATTTCGGTAAGTATCACCATCTTCCTAGGCAATAGAGCTTGAAAGTGCGGTCTCATTTTGACTCCATCTTTTCCTTTATCCCCCACCTCCTATTGGTTATAAGCACCTTTTTTTTATTCCACCTTCATGAAATATCATGTCTGTCTCCTTCAAACTCTTCTTTCTAATTATTTTTGTGGTATCATTCTAATTTATTAACTCACTTAAAATGTACTAATTGAGCCCCTAACTATTTCCTAAGCACTATGGTAGGTGCTGAGGTACAAAGCTTAAAATATGTTCCTCTTTCTTAAAAAAAGACTGGTTTAGTGGGAAGACACTGCAGTGATTGATATGATGGAGTTATTGATGCATTAAGCCCTTAAAATCTTCCCGGGAGTGAAGAGGAACTTGAAGGATGAGTAGTAAGACTCGTGGTAGGGAAGAGATTTCAGATAGAGCAGCCTGTGACATAGCAAGGGGCCCTGGGAACATGGCATATTTAATGAATCACAACTAGTTCTCTATTGCTGATGCATAAAGTATTAGAGATTAAAGAGATAGGAGATAAAGCCTGGCCCGTGTTGTTCAGTGGTAGAGCATCGACCCTTGAACTAGGAGGTCATGGTTTAATTCCCGGTCAGGTCACATACCCAGGTTGTGGACTCAAACCTCAGTAGAGGGTGTGTAGGAGGCAGCCAATCTGTGTTTCTCACATCGATATTTCTCTCTGTCTTTTCCTCTCCCATTCTCTAAAAATCATTGGAAAAATATCCTCCGGTGAGTATTTAAAAAATAATAATAATAAAATGGAAGTATTCTAAAAAAATTGATGTGAAAATTTCAAGAAGGCAATCAGAAATAAAGGCTGAAGCTCAGCAAAGGTTCTGGGCATTAACCACGTGAGGTTAATATATATATATAATAGTGAGAGACACTATTTTTATTACACAGGACACTTAGCACAATGCAAACCCATCATAGATGCTCCATCAGTATTTGAGTGGATTGTCTTGGGGAAAATAAGGGTGAGAAAGAATGAGAAAAAAATATTAGAAAAATCTTTTTTTAAAAATATATTTTATTGATTTTTTTACAGAGAGGAGAAGGATAGAGAATTAGAAATATTGATGAGAGAGAAATACCGATCAGCTGTCTCCCACGCACTCCCCACTGGGTATGTGCCCGCAACCAATTTACATACCCTTGACTGGAATCGAACCTGGGACCCTTAAGTCTGCAGGCCAACGTTCTATCCACTGAGCCAAACCGGTTAGGGCAATATGAGAAAAATCTTAATAATTTTTCAATAATATGATTCTGGGGATTAAAATCCAAGGACATGATATAGCAAGGCTGTTTTATTTTTATCCCAATGGATTTCCTCCATTAGTTTCTTCTATGAAGGATATAATTGGAATATTTCCATAGTGGTTTAGTTAGTATGATAAATGATATTCAATATACAAGCTAATCTCTGCTTTCCTTTAAAATATTTCTTTTTTTAATGTAATAGTCTAAAGAAAAATTGATTAACAGCTTAAAGGAAGGATCTGGTTTTGAAGGCCTGGACAGCAATACTGCTCATAGCATGGAGCTAGAAGAACTTCGGCATGAAAAGGAGATGCAAAGGGAAGAAATACAGAAACTGATGGGTCAGATACATCAGCTGAGGTCCGAGTTACAGGTAAGATTCCTTACAGTTCACTTAAGAGACAGCCATTTACCCCAGCTGTTAATAGTTTAAGAGGTGCTGGATTCCTTACTTTAAGGCAAGGGTATTGGTGAAATAACATGTGGAACTTCTGGAATAATAGTCACCATATAGAAGTGAACCTAAAGCAAAAGGTATCTTGTCCTTTGATTGACTTCAAGTTATGGCAATAATAAATGTAGGTAACAAGAATCACTCAATTAACAAACGCTTACCAAGTGTCTGCCATGTGCCAGGCATCTTCTAGGCTTAGAGTTGTAACAGGGAACCAGGCAGAATCTTCTGACATTCTAAGAGTTAAGTACAAATTAGATTTTGGCTTGTCTGTATAACTGGGGTGTTTTTTGATATTAAAATAGGATCGGGGATGGTCTTTTAATTATAATCTATACATAATTTTATAGTTTATTTATAACTACTATATTTAATCTCAGATTAAATTGAGCCATTAATTTAAACATAGGGTCTTTGACATAAATATAGGAGTAGTCTCTGAGGATGACAGAAGATAAAGTTACAGGGTAGCAAGACTTCTTTAAAAAAAAAATTCATAAAGGTTGTTCATCCATGCATTAATTCAGAATTATTGATTTGTAAGACATACATAAATCAAAAAGGAAAGTGTGGAAGTTGTGAGAATAGGCTAGCTTGTCTAGAGCATGGGCCTGAATATCAGATCTGGAGATAGATCTCATCCTGGGCCCTTAATTGACGTGTTACCTTGCACAAGACAGTTAATCTCACTGAGCTTGAGTTTTCTCATTTATAAAATGCAGATAAAGGCTATTTTGAGAAGAAGGATATGTATAAAAGGCTCTCAGAAGTAGTAACTGCAATTATTTCTGTTTTTTGTTTTTTGTTTTTTGTTTTTCTTTTGGCCAACTAGAAGAGCCAATAAAGACTTCTGTCCTTGTAGTCTTTAAAGTAGGTTTTTTTCCCCAGTAAATAATTTTCAATTCTAAACAGTTTTAGTCGCATGAACTTAGAAATTGAGTAAATGCTAATTTTATTCAGGCCTTGCCTTCTTTATAGAATATCTTTTGGGTAGAATTGTGAAAAATATGATTTGTTTATTTAATATCACATCCTTCCCCAGTGGGTGTGGCTCTCAGTGGTGACCTCATGAAGCAGGAGGTCACCGTTCAGTTCTCTATCAGAGTACATTCCTGAGTTTTAGGCTTGCTTCCCAGTAGGGGGCGTGCAGGAGGCAGCTGATCAATGATTCTCTCTCATCATTGATGTTTCTATCTTTTTCATTCTCCCTTCCCTTTCCTCTTCGGAATTAGTATCTCATCCTTACCCCAACCTCATTGATAACATTAACCCAATTTCTACCTTTTCTCAAGAAGCTTATCAAGTTTATAATAAAGATTATAGTATTAGGTCTAGGTCTAGCAAAATTGAAGAATGGTTAATAATTACAATAGCTATCATTTACTGAGCACTTTCATAATAGGCACTGCACTAAGCCACTAAGTACGCGCGTGTGCGTTCTCTCTCTCTCTCTCTCTCTCTCTCTCTCTCTCTCTCTCTCTCTCTCTCTCTCTCTCTCTCTCTTTGTCTCTTCTATCTATCTCTATCTCTACACACACACACACCCCTATATATACATATCTCCTTTCATTTATTCTTTACCATAACCCTGTAAGGGAAATAATATAGCTTCATTTGACAGTTTGAAGAAATAGAGGTATGGTGGAGGAAAGTAACTTCCCATGACTTATAAAGGGGCAGAGCCAGGATGCGATCCCTAGTCTGTCTGATTCCAGAACATGTGTTCTTGTTCTTTTTTTTATTATTAATATATTTTTTATTGATTTTAGATGTTCAACCACTGGGCTATGCTGGCCAGGCAGTTCAGCTGGTCGATGTTTCTCTCTCATTGATGTTTCTACCTCTCTATCCTTCTCCCTTCCTCTCTATAAAAAATCAATAAAATATATTTTAAAATAATAATAAAAAAAATAAAGTATTACATATAGGATTACATCCGTCTCCTTTTTCCCCATTGACCTCTCCCCAGCCACCCCCACCCCCATCTTCTTGTACTTTATGTGCTATGACAGATATGCTATCCTGTTCATTGCTCTCACCATTTGCCATCTATACTAATAAAAGGGTAATATGCTAATTAGACTGGACATCTTCTGGACATCCTTCCAGACAAAGCCACAGTGGCAGGGGCTGAGACAGAGGTGGCTAGGAGCAATCACACTGGCAGAGGAGCAGTTAGGGGGGTGATTAAGCTGGCAGGGAAGAGTAGTTAAGGGGCAATCAGGCCAGCAGGGGAGAGCAGTTAGGGGGTGATCAGACTGGCAGGGGAGCAGTTAGGAGCCAGGAGTCTTGGATTCGAGAGGGATGTCTGACTGCTGGTTTAGGCCTGATCCCTAAACCAGCAGTCAGACATCCCCCAAGGGTCCCGGATCAGAGAGGATGCAGGCCAGGCTTAGGGGCTCCTTTAATCCCCCCGCCCCCCCGCCTTCTCCCCCCTCTGTACATGAATTTTGTGCACTGGGCCTCTGGTATTATATAATGAAGTGTCAGTTTATGTGCTCCTTTTAGGCTGATACCGTCTCTTTCATCTTTGTTCCTCCCATGCCTGCTGACTCCAGTTCATGGTGCGTGATAATTGCTCAGTACATATTGGACTGGACAGTTAATGATTGCTTTCACATATAAAATTCATCTTTTTAGGATATGGAGGCTCAGCAGGTCAGTGAAGCAGAATCAACAAGAGAACAGTTGCAAGATCTGCAAGACCAAATAGCTGGACATAAAGCATCTAAACAAGAACTTGAAGCAGAATTGGACCGACAGAAGCAGGTAAGGATTATAGATTGATTATCAGAGAAGACTGTCTCTCAGCTGTCACACGAGGACACATCCCAGTAAAGCAGCTTCCTGACATTTTTAGGGGATATGCTAAGAGAACTAGTGGTAGACAGGCCTGACTGCTACTGCTGTCCTACACTCATTTGTTTGTTTTAACAGCTGAAAAATAGAGGCACAAAATTGTTATGAGACTTGCCTAATTTCACACAACTAATTACAGAATAGAATAGAATCCATGATTCTTGTCCCAAAGTTTTTTTTACTATTACTCTGTCTGTATTTTTTTATATTTGCTTGTCAGAGTATATACATATAGAAAACTTTTTTAAAAAATCAGTTGAGCCGAAACCGGTTTGGTTCAGTGGTAGAGCATCCATCTGCGGACTGAGGGGTCCCAGGTTCGATTCCGGTCAGGGGCATGTACTTTGGTTGTGGGCACATCCCCGATGGGGGGTGTGCAAGAGGCAGCTGGTCGATGTTTCTCTCTCATCGACGTTTCTAGCTCTCTATCCCTCCCTCCTCCTCTCTGTAAAAAGTCAATAAAATATATTTTAAAAAATAAATAAATAAAAATTAAAAAATCAGTTGATTTTTGTACTTTACTCCATTTGTACTTTCTAGACACAACAGTAATTGCTAGTTAACAAAGATATAACATTAGTACCATATTAGATTACTTTTTCTGATTGAGAAAAAGTTCTTATATAGATTATATTTACAAATCATGGTTTAGATTCTCTTTCATTGTTCAATTAGCAGTTGTCTGCTCCCCAAGAATATTTTACTTGAATGTCCTGCTCCTATAAATAAAAGGCTAATATGCAAATTGTCCCCTTAACCGGGAGTTCGACTAGGAGTTTGACTGGGAGTTTGACCAGGGGGTGGGGTTGGCTGGCAACTGCCCATAGCCCTCCCCCTCAGCCGGCCTGGCCCCACCTGTGCACGAATTTGTGCACCAGGCCTCTAGGTTTCATATTAATACAGTTAAACATGTTTGTAGCCACATTTTCAGAATAAGATTCTATATCTAATATTCCTATCTAATAAAAGAGTGATATGCAAATTAACCATCACTTCACAATAAAGATGGCTGTGCCCATAGCCAATAAGGAGGGAATATGCAAATTGATGCAACAAAGATGGTGGCACTGGCTGGAGTGGGTGGGAGGCTTGGCTTCCTTGGTCACCCCAGCCGGCTCCGTGGCTGCTGCCCAAACAAAGCCATAGTGGCAGGGCTGAGGCAGAGACGGTTAGGGTGTTCAGGCCAGAAGGGGAGGGCAGTTGGGTGATCAGGCCGGTGGGGGGAGGGGGAAAGTTGGGGGCTAGCAGGTCGGCAAGAGGGGCAGTAGGGGGCAAGCAGGCCATCAGGGGGGGCCAGTCAGGGGTGAGCAGGCTGGCAGTGAGGGACAGTTGGGCTTGATCAGGCCAATGGGAGGGGCAGTTTGGGGCAAGCATGCTGGCATGGGGAGCAGCAGGGGGTGAGCAGGCCAGCGGGGGGCAGTAGGCAGTAAGCAGGCGTGATCAGGCCAATGGAAGGGGCAGTTGGGGGCAATCAGGCCAGCAGAGGGGTGCAGTTGGGGGTGATCAGGCTGACGGGGGGAGCGGGCAGTTGGCAATGAGAAGGCTGGTGAGGGGGCAGTTGGGGGTGAGCAGGCTGGCAGGCAGAGTGGTTAGGTGTGACCAGGCAAGCAGGTAGGCCGGTGAGCGGTTAGGAGCCAGCAGTCCTGGATTGTGAGAGGGATGTCTGACTGCTGGTTTAGGCCCAATCCCAGGGACATCATCCAAGGCAGTTGGACATCCCCCAAGGGGTCCCAGATTGGAGATAGTGCAGGCCGGGCTGAGGAACGGCCCCTCTCATGTAAGAATTTCGTGCACCAGGCCACTAGTAACATCTATAATTTACTAAGCAGTGACATTGTTATAGGCACTTAATTTACATCATCTTAGTTCATTTCACATAATAAAATCACTATCGTGTTTATTTTATAGAAGATAAAATTATTTCAGTTTTGCATATTTATGTCCTTTAAAGATTTTTTTTTTTTAAATCACCTAAGAGAGAGAGGCAAGGAGGGAGGCAGGGAGGGAGAAAAGCATCAGTTTGAGAAAGAAACATTGATTGGTTGCCATGTATAAATGCCCTAATTGGGGATCAAAACCGCAGCCCAGGTATGTGCCCTGACTGGGAATTGAACTGGCAACCCTTTGGCGCACATGACAGCAATCAGTCAAATGAGTCATTCTAGCCTGGCCGATTTTTTTTTCATTAGAATTGATTCTTTCATTAGGATTAGAAGTAGTTCAATTCTCAGAGATATATTTGTTTTTATTTTGAAAGTAGCACTTAAATCTGTTTTCTGCATATTAAGCGAAAAACTGAGTAGCAACCTACAGAGTACATCATGGGCTATCTTAATTATAAGATTAGCTATTCTTTCAGAAATTGCATTTTAATTTATTTAAGGATCTAATATATATTTAAAGGCAAAAATTTTATGTTCTTGATGTTTAGTGAGATAATTTTCATTTTATTATGGCACATGGTTTCAACCACATTCATTTCCAGTGCCCTTTTATAAAATGAGGGAGGTAAGTAGAAGAAAGTGGAGCTGAATATAGCTAAGGCTGTTTATTTAGTAATCAGATGTTCTGATGTGAAGGGTTAAACTTTAATTTTAGGGTTAAATGTCCTGTAGTGCTCTTTATCAGTTTTAGATCATTTCAACCTTAAATTTTATGCTAGCCTAGAGCTTTAGAAATAAGGCATACCTGTAAATGGTTATTCTTCTGCCCTAATTACCTTCCTCATTTTATCTCTCTTTTTAAAATTTCTTTATTGATTAAGGTGTTACAAATTTGTCCTTATTCCCCATTACCCTTCCTATTCCCCTCCCCCCCACACACACACACACACATTCCCTCACCCCTCTGTTGTCTGTGTCCATTGGTTAGGCTTATTCTCTCTTTTAAAAAAAATATTTTTTTTATTGATTTCAGAGAGGAAGGGAGAGGAAGAGAGATTGAAACATCAATGATGAGAGAGAATCACCGATTGGCTGCCTTCTGCTCTCATCCTCTACTGGGGATTGAGCCCACAACTCAGGCATGTGCCCTTGACAGAAATCGAACCCAGTATCATTCACTGAGCCAAACTAGCGAGGGCTGTTTTATCTTTTTTTCACTTATCTCAGTTTTCACAGAATGTGAAATGAACAGGTTGAACTAAATGTCTAAAGCAGTCTTTGGCAGTTTAGTCCATCTCAATGTATGTCTTCATACAGCTCTCTTTACTGAAGGAATTATATGAAGCTCCCAGCTCAGTGAAGCATAATGCATTTTTAAATTGACATGTTATTGACATACAATATAACATTAGTTTTAGGTGTACGTTATAGTGATTTGATATTTATATACATTGCTAAAGGATCCCCTGGATGTTACCATCTGTCACCATGCAAAGTTATTAACAATATAATTGACTATATTCCCTATGCTACATAATGCTTTTGAAGGTATTTAGCTAACTAATTACTTTTTCTTTCCTGGAATGTGTTTTGTTCTTAAATTCTGACTTGACTCCGAATAATCATATTTATTATACAGATTAGCAGTGGTTTAATGCAGTTGATAGTGAACCCAGAGGTATTTCTTTGTTTCTTTCTCCCTCTTTTATTAATGACAGTGCAAAAAAGGTACAAGATATTGCCTTTGCATTTCCTTATGATTAATGGGGTTGAGCAGCTTATTCACAAATAAGCATGTGAATAAGCTGCTCAACATCATTAATCTTTAGGGAAATGCAAAGTGAAACCTCAAGGAGCTAGCACCACATACCCAACCAGATTAGCTACACTTAGAGAGACTGACACCACCAAATGTGGGAAGGATGTGGAACAACTGGCACGCTCTCATATTGCTGTTGGAATGCAAACTGGTACAGGTATTTGGAAAACAATTCAGAAAACAATTGGCAGGGTTTTTTTCCTTTAAAGTAGACATACACTTATCATATGATCCAGTAGCAGTTCTAGAAAAATCTAAAACAAAGACCACGTAAAGACTTGTGCTTAAACGTATACATATACATATACGTATCAATCATATACAGATTGATAAATGATGCTGAAGTATAATTTTTCATTAGATCCATCCTAATATGTTCATTTATTCATTCAGTATATACTCAGCACATATTGAGTGTCTACTATATGTCAGGCCCTGTTTTAGGTTCTGGAGATGGAATAGGGTATGCTGTTTTAACTTTTATTTTGTGCCTCACTCTGTAGGAATTCCATTATATAGAAGAAGATCTTTACCGAACAAAGAATACATTGCAAAGCAGAATTAAAGATCGGGAAGAAGAAATTCAGAAACTTAGGAATCAGGTATATGTCATTTACAACTTGGACAAAGATACCATTCATTGTAAAGGCACATTTTTTCAGAGAATACAGTAAGATTTTCTTTTCCATATTTTCATCTGAGTTTTCTTGTTGCAGTGGTACGATGTTATTTTCAACCTGATATAGACTTTCCATCTATTAGGTCTAGTAATAATTAATGTCGTTTTCTAATACTTTTTTAAATCGAATTTATTTAAACAATACAACAAAATTTAATCAATAATATAGTTGCCGTTGTTTTCTACTACTTGTGCCCAATGCTCAGGAAGCATTTTAATCCCTCTGTTGTAAAATTCTTGTGATTTTGATGCAAAAAATTCAGTCAATGCATTTTTGAGGCATTCTTCATTATTAAATTTTTTTCCAAGAAGCAAGTTTTGCAAAGAACGAAACAAATGGTAATCGGAAGGGGCAATATCAGGAGAATATGCAGGTTGAGGGAGAACTTCCCATTCCAACTGGCGCAGTTTTTCAGCAGTGATTCTGGCAGTATGTGGTCGTGCATTATCATGGTGAAGAATTACGCCCTTCCGATTAATCAGCGCGGGTTCTTTTTCTCTTAAAGCTTGGGCTAACCTTTCCAATTGGGCACTATACACTGCACTTGTAATGGTTTGGTTAGATGGTAAAAGTTCATAATGAAGAATTCCTTTAAAATTCCACCAAACACACAACATCACTTTTTTCGCATGCAAGTCAGGTTTTGGCGTGGGCTGCGGAGTCTCATTTTTGTCCAACCATTGAGGCCGTCTTTTCAAATTAACATACAGCTCCCATTTTTCATCTCCGGTAACAATTTGCTCTAAAAACGGCAAACGGTTTTGACGAGAGAGGAGCGAACTGCAAATTGTGACTCTCTGATTACGGTTGTTGTCGGTCAACTCATGAGGAACCCATTTTCCAAACTTTTGGACTTTGCCAAGTGCACGCAATTGATTGGAAATTGTTTTTTGTGAACAATTTAAAGTTGTCGCAAGCTCTTGTTGGGTAATTTGAGGATTTTGCACCAAAAGAGCTTGAAGAGCTTCTTGATCAAAATTGGACACACGGCCTTGACCACTCTTGTCATCTAACGAAAAATTTCCCTCGCGAAATTTCTCAAACCAACGCTGGCATTTTCTGGCGCTAACTGCATCTTGACCAAGAGCACTACAGATGTTTTTGGCAGCCTCACTTGCTTTTCTTCCTAATTGGAACTCGTAAAGCATGCAGTGCCGAATATGCTCTTCACCCCGCCATCTTCTTAGCCCTAGTTTTGCAACAAAAACCAAACCAAACACAAACTTTTTCAAGCAAAACTTGTTAATTGCACTTCACACGTTCTGTAGATACCACGTGTTTGAAGGTTATGTCAATACAAGTCAACGCCAAGCAAGATTTTAAACGAATGTTTAAAAACGACATTAAGTATTACTAGACCCGATAATGCCTGTGAGTCTGCACTTGCTGTATTCTGTGGCTTGCTTCTTACAGAAATACTGGAGGCCCAATGCATGAAATTTGTGCAAAGGGGCTCAGCCCTCGCAGCCACAGAGGCTGCCCTCAGCCCTAGCAGCATGGCTTCATCTGGAAGGTTGTCCGGAAGGAGGTCTGGCTGTCCAGTCTAATTAGCATATTACACTTTTATTATTATAGATCTTGTAGCCGGAGTCACTTGAGGAGATGTGAATTATCTCAACACTTTCTAACTTCAGTGGGGATTGTGCTGATTGCCAATTTCATAAGTGTGTTTTCTCTTTCTTAAGAGAAATCCAGGGATAAATCTTTCTGTTGGCAATTGATAGGTCTTCCATGAAGTCAGCAAGACCTCTTTGTAACTCTGAAAATGAGAAACACAAAGAAAACAGTCTGTGCCTAGCTCCCAGATTTACCAGTCTTGATCACTAACTGCCAAAATCATGCATTCACTTACTCTGTAGTTATAGATTGTCCTTTCCTCCCTTCTCTTCAGGCGATTGACTTAATAAGTAATGGACTCTTTTAAACAGTGTTACCAAAGTGATTGATTAATGCTATGGCAGTCTTTGGGATTCTAAAAGAAGGCTGAAGTCAGCTTGGGCTAGACTTGTTGGAAAAAGCTTCAAGGAAGAGACTTTGAAGGCAGGTAGAGCCTAGATAAGAGAAGGGGACTGAATTTTCCAAGCAGGAAATGTGGACAGCTGAGTGGAGGAGGGAATTGGTGACACATGAGAACAAATAGAAGATGCAATGAAGGATGTTACTAAGAACCATCAGCCAGACCCTGCTAGGAAAATTCTCATTTAATATCCCTAAACACCATGTGCAGCAGGCACTATTATCTTCAGTTAACACACGCGGAGACAGACAACAAGCACATTCGTCCTCACTTGAGGAAACAGATTCAGAGAAGTGTAGCAGTTTGTCCAAGTGAGATAGCGAGGAAATCGCAGAGCGGGGATGAAAACCACCAGAAGTGAGTGGTCTTGGCACAACTGTTGAGTTATCCAGGTTGAAATGTTTCAACCATATCTCATGGATCAGTGCTTTCAGATATATTTTTTTTAAATATATATTTTATTGATTTTACACAGAGAGGAAGGGAGAGGGATAGAGAGTTAGAAACGTCGATGAGAGAGAAACATCGACCAGCTGCCTCTTGCACACCCCCCACTGGGGATGTGCCCACAACCAAGGTACATGCCCCTGACCGGAATGGAACCCGGGACCCTTCAGTCCGCAGGCTGATGCTCTATCCACTGAGCCAAACCGGTCCCGGCATGCTTTCAGATATTTTTGACCGTGATGTTACAGTAAGAAGTAAGGTTTATATCATGTCTCAGTACTCACACGTTCTTACAATGTACAAAACTGATATAGAAGTTTCATAAGATAATACTCTCACATACTCTGTGCTGTACGCTCTGATACGTCCATTCCGTTCTACCTTTTAACGTGTTGATTGAACCACCAAGTTGATTTTGTGGCTCCCTAATAAGTTTGAAAATTGCTTCTGTAGTCAATGAAAGAACCATTACAGAGTTTTGAGAAATCAGTGAACACTACAGTTCATCTGTGGGGATGTGGCAGTGTGGTTTCTGTGTTGTATGCCTGGTTTTATGTAATGCTTTTATGAACTGTTGCCTTTCAGCTTACCAATAAAACCCTAAGCAATAGCAGCCAGTCCGAGTTGGAGAGTCGACTCCATCAGCTGACGGAGACTCTCATCCAGAAGCAGACCATGCTGGAGAGCCTCAGCACCGAGAAGAACTCGCTGGTCTTCCAGCTGGAGCGCCTCGAGCAGCAGATGAAATCGGCCACTGGAGCTGGGAGCACTGGGTCTGCCATCAATATGTCTGGAGTTGACAATGGCGAAGGTAAAAAAAGAGCGGCCATTCAGTTCCAGTCAAGGGCATGGACCTTGATTGCAGGCTCCTCCCCAACCTGGGCCCTGGTCGGGGTGCGTGGGACAGACGACCAATCGATGTGTTCCTCTCACATTGATGTTTCGCTCTCTTTCCCTCTCTCTTCCACTCTCCCTGAAAATCAGTGGAAAAATACCCTCAGTTGAGGATTAAAAACAAAAATGTTTTGTTGCCTTAATTTCTAATGTTGCTAATTCAAACATGATTTTGATAAGTTAAAAGAATATCATTTTTATTAAGAAAGAGGTTTCATCCAACGAAGCACCCACTTTTCTCCTTATGTGAAGATGGGCCATGTGCTGTTGGATATGATCATTAATAAATTGGACTGTGGACTGATTAATATCCCTCACTAGTGTGGGACTTGGAGGAAAGAGGCCCAAGGATCCATAGTCATATTGAAATACATAGGATGCTCAGTAGGATGTGATTCAATACAGAGGGACTTTCAAGAATGTTAAAGCAAAATTTGCTTTAATAATCTTCCAATCCATAATTATGAATACATATTTTTTTAATTTTTATGAGCAATAGGTTGAAGAACCCCTATTTTTCTTTTTTTTTATATATATATTTTTATTGATTTCAGAGAGGAAGGGAGAGAAAGATAGAAACATCAATGATGAGAGAGAATTGTTGATTCTCTCCTGTACACTTCCCATTGAGGATTGTTGAGTCTGCAGCCTGGGCATGTGCCCTTGACTGGGATCGAACCCAGGATCCTTCAGTCCGCAGGCCAATGCTCTATCCACTAAGCCAAACTGGCTAGGGCTATAATTATGAATATTAAAGCTGATACATCTATATATATAAAAGCTTAAGCAGCTGAACAACCTAACAACTGAATGACAGGTCCACCAGTCACTATGATACGCACTGACCACCAGGGGACAGATGCTCAATGCACAGAATGGGGCTCTCTCCTGTCTGGATTGGGCCTGTGGGGATCGGGTCAAAACAGGCTATCCGACATCCTCCGATGGGTCCCAGATTGCAAGTGGGCGCAGGTCAGGCCAAGGGACCCCACCAGTGAGTGAATCTGTGCACCGGGCCTCCAGAAGTCATGTAAGTATATCCATGCTCAAATTTTAATAGAGAATCTGTACTCCCAAAATACATATTCAAAAAGAACATTAAAGCCCTGGCCAGTGTGGCTCAGTTAGTTGGGAGTGTCATCTCATATAAGATGGAGGATTCCATTCCCTGTCAGGGTTCGATCCCTGGTTGTGGCATGTATAGGAGGCAACTGATGCATGATTCTCTCTCTTAAAGAAAAAAAAGAAATCACCAGTGAAAACATATCCTCGAGTGAGGACTTAAAAAAAGGGGAAAGGAGGGATGTTAAAGATTTTAGTGTAAGCTTCCACAGCCTTAATCCTAGAAAGTCCTTTTAGACTTTTTCCCTATATGTGTTTACATTATCTGTTTTATTGACTTTTAACTTTTTTCATATTAATAAGTTTCATAATATAGTTTATACAATAGTTTATACATTACTTTATGGAAATCTATTGTGTAAATACTGTAATTTGTTTGATCAGTTCTCCTTATGGTTGGGAATTTAGATTGTTGCTAATATAGCAGTTCTGAGGAAAATATTTTCTGAACGTCTCTCTTATTTTCTTGGGATTAATGATTAGAAATGGAATTGCTGGGTCAATAGGTGTACACATTTGAAGGCTTGTTTACTTTTGGTGGCAGAATCAGCAAATAATTACAAGTGCTTTATACCAGGTACTATCCTAGACATTGGGCCACAAAAGAGACCAAAATCTCTGCCCTATGGATCTTCCATTCTGGAGGCGTGGAGAGGAATGCAAGGGGAGGACACAGCAGTAAATGGATGATGTGAGGTGATGATATGTGCTGCCGAGGAAGGGAGACATGGGGTGCCAGCTGTGGAGATGGGATTGCACTTTAGGGTGGTCAGAGGAGACCTCATTGAAAAGGTAGGAGGTAAGAAAGTAGACAGTGAGGCAGGGAGAAGGGCAGGAGGTGCAAAGGCCCTGAGGCGGGAATGTTGCGGGAACAGCATGGAGTTTAGGGCCGCAGGAGTAGGGGAGCGGAGAGTAAGGTGAATTCAGAGAACTTGGAGGAGGCTGTTTAGGCCTGTGGGTGACCTCTGAAGGAAGGGAAAGCCACTGGAGGGTCTTGAGAAGGGTGGCTGATGCAGCCTGTATTTTAACACGTTACCTCTGGCTGCTGTGTCCGTAGTAGACTACAAAGAACTAGGAGTGGAGGCAGAGGACCAGGAGGAGCTGTTGTATTAATCTATGTGAGAGATGAGGTGGTTCAGGACAGAGTGGGGATTGTGAGGGTTCATTTTAAAGGTGAGCTGACAGCATTTGCTAGCAGATTGTGAAATTTGACAGGAAGAAAGGAGTCAAGGTTTGGGGCCTGAGCAGCTGGAAGGATGGAGTTCTCATGTCTGAGATAGGGAGAACTGCAAGACGAGTGGGTTGGCAGCAGAGGCAGGAAGTCAGTAGCATGGTCTTGGCATGCTGAGTCTGAGATGACTTGAGATATCCAGATGGAAATGGAGCAGGTGATTGGACAAGTCTAGAGTTGGGAGTGGTCTGGGCTGGAGATGAAATGTGGGAGTCATCGGCTTTGTAGAAAGGTCATTCTTACTAGCACAGGAGTTGTGTCCATTAATATTGACTATTAACAACACTTGGTATTTATAAACTTTAATTTTTGCTAATTTCTTAAAGAAATAATTTTTTTAGTTTTTACATTTTGATTTTTGGGCATGAAAGTTCAAACATTTCATATAATCAAATTTACCTGTTGTTTTTTTTTTTAATGATTTTATCTCTGATGTCATACTTAGAAAGTTGGCCTTGAGAATTTCTTTGATAAGTAATTTAATGTGTAATCAACTGTAATTTTGTTAAAAAATTCATCTTTGCTGCTTGTACATCCATTCATTATTTTCTTGTTTAAACAGGGGCACGTCTACGAAATGTTCCTGTTCTTTTTAATGACACAGACACCAGTCTGGCAGGAATGTATGGAAGAGTCCGCAAAGCTGCTAGTTCAATTGACCAATTTAGGTAAGTTCTGCCAGTAACGATGAGTGATGGACCATCAAATATTTTTATAACCTTTTCTAGTGGTTTTCATCATTGTGAGTCCCATCAGATAGAGCTGATATTTAAAGTGACATTTACCTTATTCCTTTCATGGTATTTCAGTGTCATGAAATTGCTTTAAGAGGTCTGCCAGTGTCTATACTTATTGAAGATGATTAATCATGACCATTTCTCTTCTTTCTGTAATAAACTCTATTTAAAACTCATTAAATTTCATTGAGAAAGTCTCTATCGCATGTAAATGCATCCATTTGAATGCTTTATCTCAATACTTTGTCATGTGATTAGAACAAAAGATGCTACAAATGAACAGTACTCATTGCAATATGTTTTTATATATTGCATAAATAATACATAATTTATGTTATGTTTATACTTATAAATAAACTTTTTATACTAGCAGACATCTACCTTATATAGAAAATGTTTTAGTTTCCATCGGGGGTGAAGAGAGGACCCTAGAGAGCTCCGAGCAGCACCACTGCCATCACTCCGGCCTAGTTACCATCACATCCTGTCTGACTCCTGCAGACAGCCCCAGTCACCATCACCCCAACCGTCAGCAGCGAGGCCTGCCACCCCCGCCCTCGGAACTGCCAACACCAAGCCTGGTACTACGGGCAGTGGCATAGGGCATGCCAGTCCAGGTAGCCTTATATCCTGGGCACCTGCCAGCAGAGACAAAATCATTGCAATGAAGATTTTGTTTTTTTAGAAAAAATTTTTAAAAAAAAATATTTTATTGATTTTGTACAGAGAGGAAGGGAGAGAGATATAGAGCTAGAAACATCGATGAGAGAGAGTCATCGATTAGCTGCCTCTTGCACACTCCCTACTGGGGATATTCCCGCAACCAAGGTACATGCCCTTGACCGGAATCAAACCCGGGTCCCTTCAGTTCCCAAGCCGACGCTCTATCCATTGAGCCAAACCGGTTTTGGCGCAATGAAGATTTTGGAAACAGTAAAATGGTTCAGTGTAAGAGACAGATATGATTTAATCAACAGGAATGACCCCAAAGAAGATGTGTTTGTACACCAGATGGCCATAAAGAAGAAGAACCCCAGGAAGTACCCTCACAGTGTAGGAGGAGGAGAGGCTGTGGGGTTTGATGTAGTTAACTGATGCTCCATTCGATGTGGAGGCAGCAAATGTTACAGGCCGCTGTGGAGTTTCAGTGCAAGGCAGTAAATGTACAGCAGTCCGCAAGCATGTAGGTGCTGTCCATGTCAGAGTGTCCTGCACACAACTGCCAGCAGGATTACCAGACACCCAAGGTCAACAGCTACCTCCACATCAGTACCGCTGTAACTTGTGCAGATGCCTGGAAAACCCCAAGCACAAGATGGCACTGAGACTAAAGCAGCTGGTCCACCAGCTGAGAATTCATCTGCTCCCAAAGCTGAGCAGAGCAGGGCTAAGTAAATGCCAGCTTACTATCTCTACTATCCAGTTTAGTCATCCAACGAGAAGAAATGAATATAAAATTGTAGCAGTATTAAATGACCAAGTCTGGCCAGTGTTCCTAAGTGGTTAGAGCGTCAGCCCATGCACCCAAGGGTATTGGGCTTGATTCCCAGTCAAGGGCACGTACTGGGCTGTGGGTTTGCTTACTGCCCCTGGGGCATGCACGCACACACATATATATCTCCCTTTCACTCTGAAAAGTAATGGAAAAATAGCCTCATGTGAGATTAATAACAACAAAAAAGATGGGAGCTGAAGACCTTAAGTATTTGCTTTTTGCTCGTGGACCAGCTATGCAGCATGGGGGTTTTATTATTTTACCTAAAGTTGTCTCTTTTTTGGTAATGACAAACACGTTTTAAAAAAGCCTAGTTTTTCTTAATACACCTTTAGAGGTTTTTAAATTGTTACATATCTGGCAAGTTGAGATTTTTTTAAGAAACTCATTTTTAATTTGTAAAAAAAGTTTACAACTTGATTTTTTTTTTTAAAGTCAACAAACTGCAAGCACTTGTTAATAAAGTTCTTAAAAAATTGTCAAAGAAAGGTTTTAGATCTCCCTCTGCCGCCGTGCCGTGGCTGCCCTTGGCGAGTGCTGATGTTACACTGAGTACTCACCTCCCTTGACCAAATGGGTGGACATGGAGATTGACCAAGGATGCAAAAACTTGATGCTGTAGGACTGGGAGTCCAGCTTTTGCAGATCACTGTGCATTTCAGGCCTGGAAACCTGTAGAACAAGTAATCACAGAAGATTTCACACCTACCCTTTCATCCTACTATAAAGGAGGATTTGAACAGAAAATGAGTAGGCGAGAAGCTATTCTTATTTTGGATGTAAACCCATCTGCTGGCAAGGCCGAGATTAGAATCACCCAGATAAAGGTGGAGCTCCATACTTAGCAATCAGAATAAATGAAGCAAAAGACTTGCTAGAAGAAACCACCAAACATTCATTGAGGCTCAGGGACGACTCCTGCATATTTAATCTAAACCACCCCGTTATCATTTTCATACATGTGCTAACCATAAATAATAATTTCACTGTTCAGTGGTATAATAATAAAAGATTAATAATCTTTTATTATCTTTTAAGGAAAAAATGTTTTAATAGTTTATATATAGCATTAAACTCTTTTGTCTTTTAGTGTTTATAATTAATCACAGTCTCAATGAACTATTGCATAAAAGAGCAATCTTTTCTTACCTTTATGTATCAGAATATAGCTGTGGTGTTACATATTAGGAGGAGGATTTACTAAGATTCCCAAAGCCATGGACCAAGGATGCCATAGTCATTTCCAAATTAAAATGCACATCTATTTCAACTTTTCTTTATTCAGTCTACATGACTTTTAGAGAACCAGCATGCAAAGCATTGTGCTAGTGGCAAAGAAACGGAAAGGCAGAGAAGGTGTATTTGCTTGTACCTGTGTCCATCCTGTAGGGGGAAATGTAAAAAGGCATGAGTGGCAAGGTCTGGACATCACATTGCTCCTCACACTTCATTTGTTCAAGTGTTTACTTGAGTTCTGAGGTTTTGTGTCGTTGGGAAGCAGGTATCAATACAAAAGCTTTCTGATTAGTAATTTGCAGATTGATTCCAACTAGACTTTCCTATTCTTGTTTTCACGTTTGCCTTATGTTTTATAACTTACTTAGTTCCTAAAAGAAAAATGATTTAGAGAGGGACCAAGTTGTTTAACAGCTAAACCCAAGTAGTATTTGCTTGCACTAAGGCATTTCTATATGATTATTTCAAATAACTATTTAATCTACTATAAATAAATCTTTATGGTGGCCACAGAACTAGTATAAATGAGTGGAATGTTAAAAAGCATTATTAGATATTACTACAGGTAGATCTATTGTCAGTCTAACTCTCTTCTCTTCTCTCTACCCCACCACCATTTACATAGTATCCGCCTGGGAATTTTTCTCCGAAGATACCCGATAGCACGAGTTTTTGTAATTATATATATGGTAAGTGAACTTGTTTTAAAAAACAATGTTGCCGGGACCAATGTTTCAAGCCTGCGGATTGAAAGGTCCGGGTTCGATTCCGGTCAAGAGCATGTACGTTGGTTGCGGGCACATCCCCAGTGGCGGGGTGTGTGTGTATGTGCAAGAGGCAGCTGATCGATGATTCTCTCTCATTGATGTTTCTAACTCTCTATCCCTCTCTCTTCCTCTCTGTGAAAAATCAATAAAATGTATTTTTAAAAATAAAATAAAATAAAAAATAAAAAAGCAGTGCTGCACTTGATTTTTTCAGCTGCTGGTCTTTTTTAAAAAAATGTTTTTATTGACTTCAGAGAGGAAGGGAGAGGGGGAGAGAGAGACAGAAACATCAATGATGTTTCTCCTGCATGCTCCCTACTGGGGATTGAGCCTGCAACCCAGGCATATTCCCTCACCAGGAATCAAACCATAACCTCCTGAGGCTCAACCACTGAGCTATACCAGCCAGGCAGCTGCTGGTCTTTTTGACTAAAGTTTAGCAATCAGTTTTGAAAGAGAATTCAATTTGTTATTTCTAAAATGTAAATTGTTCAAAGACTTTTCCTACAATTAACTTCAGTGCAGTTTAACAGTTAACTTCATTGCTAAGCCCCTCTTAAGATAAAAAATACAATACAAAACAATTGATTTTTTATCTTGATGTAAAGTTGCTTTCCATGTATTTTGCTTTGTTTTCTAAAACAGTCTCAAGGTTGATTTATTTTCTTTCATATTGTTTAGCTCTAATAATGGTTACCAGAGGCAGGCATGCCATTTCATGTGTCCTGTGAGCCTAAAAAACTCACCGTTCTGAATGGGGATGCTAAAAGTAGTTGCGTTGAATTAAAACAGGCAATTTTTTCTTCAAAAGAAATAAAAGCACCCTGAGAAAGAAATTTCTTTTCTTTTCTTTTTTTTTTTTTTTTAAATATTTTTTATTGATTTTGTACAGAGGGGAAAGGAGAGAGATAGAGTTAGAAACATCGATGATAGAGAGTCATTGATCAGCTGCCTCTTGCACACCCCCTACTGGGGATATGCCCGCAACCAAGGTATATGCCCCCGACCGGAATCGAACCCGGGACCCTTCAGTCCCCAAGCCGACGCTCTATCCATTGAGCCAAACCTGTTTCTGCGAAAGAAATTTCTTTTTGATCCACTAGAGGGAAGAGTTACTTAAAAAATAAAAAGTTTTTAAGAAGCCCTAACAGGTTTTGATCAATTGCTAGAGTGTCGGCCTGCAGACTCAAGGGTCCCAGGTTTGATTCTGGTCAAGGGCATGTACCTTGGTTTCGGGCATATACCTGGTGGGGAGTGTGCAGGAGGCAGCTGATTGATGTTTTCCTCTCATCGATGTTTCTAACTCTCTATTCTTGTCCCTTTCTCTCTGTAAAAAATCAATAAAATATATTTTTTAAAAGTTTTTAGGAAGAGAGGGATGGAGAGAATGAGAGGGAAAAGATTGGCCTCAGAAAGGGTTCAGAATATGTCCACATCTGGGTTGATTTCCGGGTGGAGTTTTTGAGGAACATGGACTCTGTCAGCATGAGACGTGATGCCTCACGCCAGCGATGCCTGGGCGATGGAGCCTCGTTCTGTTGTCCCACGACCACAAGGGAGCCAGTGGGACTGTCGGTGGCGGTCCTGTGCTGGACCCCAGGTCACCTCTGGAACCTGGCACAGCGTTCCTGTCGAGCATGGCTGAGCCCTCTTGCAGAAAGCCAGCTCTGACTGCTCTTAAAAAGCCTCTCCGGCCACTTCATGGCTCTCTAGCCATTAATCACCTGATTGTTTTGGGTACATGTGCTTATCATGAATGAATTGAGGACTTTTCTCCACTCGACTGAGCAATGTTCTGGAATTGTAACTATTGCCCTCATCGTTTGTACATCTATTTCTTCATTAGTCCCCAGTAAACACGTACGGAGCCCCTGGAGTGTTGCACACACAGTGCCGGACAGGAACACAGTACACAGACGTCCCTGCCCTTCATGCGTCTCACCCTGGGCCTGTGGTGAAGGGGGGATCCTTGACTAATCCACAAATTATCTTTTCTTCCTTAGGCTCTGCTCCACCTCTGGGTCATGATTGTTCTGTTGACTTACACACCGGAAATGCACCATGACCAGCCCCATGGCAATTGAACTGGACCTATTTGTTTCAATGACTGGTTGTCTGTTTCCAGACGTTGGATCTGTAAAAGGTCAACTGCTTCAAATTCCTCAAGAGGGTGCCCAAGATTGTTTTATCACTACAAGCTTTTAACTTTTTAAGTTATTATACAAGTACTCTGCTACCTAAATCTTCCTCTAATTTCCGTCAAATGGTAAGAGTTTCTAAAACAGACGATAATTTAACAAGCTCAGCTCTGCTTTTTCTGAGATGGGTGGCTCCGTGTATATATGTACACACAGATGCTGGGAGGTTCACCTCTACAGACCAGCCTGTATTTTACTGATACTCATTATGGGTTGTAATCAGGGAAGCTAATTGTATTTAGTGACATAAATAAAAGGTTTTCTTTTTGATAATTCAGTCTGCTTTTGTATTTTTCTGTATTTAACTTTACAAATACACTTTTTTCCCTTTTGGTATGCCTCACCCAAGGAGTGGGGATATAGTTTCCATTATTTTTTAGAGAGAATAGAAGGGAGGGGCAGGGAGAGAGGAGAACGAAACATCAATGTGAGGGAGATATATTAATTGGTTGCCTCCTGCATGCATCCCAATCTCGGGGAGGGGTGCCGGGCAAGGGTCAAACCTGCAACCCAGCTGAAACCGGTTTGGCTCAATGGATAGAGCGTCGGCTTGGGGACTGAAGGGTCCCGGGTTCGATTCTGGTCAAGGGCATTTACCTTGGTTGCGGGCATATCCCCTGTAGGGGGTGTGCAAGAGGCAGCTGATTGATGACTCTCTCTCATTGATGTTTCTAACTCTCTATCTCCCTTCCTCTCTGTACAAAATCAATAAAATAAATAAATAAGTAAGTAAATAAATAAATAAATGCCTGCAACCCAGGTACGTGCCCTTGACTGGAAATCGAACCTGAGACCCTCTAGGGCACAGGCCAACACTCCAGCCACTGAACCACGCTGGCCAGGGAAAACTTTGCAAATTTACTTCTGACATGTTAAAGTCCTGATTGGTAGAAAGAAATCTTCTTATAAAATTTACTATGCATTTATCTTTTAAAAAATAATAGTTTTTTTTATTCCCATTAAACCAGACCTTTCCAGATGGCCAGATGACAGAGCAATGGCAGCAGCTGGCATCACTCATGGTTGGTTCTCAGTGAGCTGCCCCTTCCCCAGTGTGGGGTTTCCCCTCCCCAACCCCGGCACCCAATTCCTTCCACTCTCAGTCATTCATCGCCTTCCTCCGCCCTTGTTTCCTTCCTCAGCCTACACCTCCAGCCTCTGCCTCAGGACATCCGCAGCCCCTGCTTGTGCAATTAGGAATCGAATCTTTCAGCAACCTTTGCATTTTTAAAACACTCCAGTGCAGAGACAGAACAGAGTTATTCTTTGAAGAGAGACACTTCCTTTGCTTTAAGTCCAGTATAATGTCTGTTCTGACTTTTTTTCTACACGTCTCAGTTCTTTTACTGTCCCTTGGGCTCTCATGGGCTCTCTACAGATTTAATCAATATGCATAGTAGGGCAAAAGTAGTTTACAGTTCATATGGAAAAAACACAACCATCCGTAAATAACACTCCACGTTTCACATCCTCACAACCGTAACCTCCCCTTGCCTCATCCCGAGTGTGGCTCGGGCTGTGAGAGGGAGAGTCCGTCCAGTCAGAGGTGTCTGAGGCCTCCTGCCTCTGCCCCTCCAGAAACCTGGCCGGAGTTTCTGCTCTTAATGAGATCTCTCTGTGAGGTCCGTTGAGGTGTGACTTTAGTTAAGAATTGTTCAAGCGTTTGGGTGCACTGCTGCATGTACCAGAAAATGTTTAAAGGCCATCCTAGGTGTGTTCGTGCTTTTTCTCCACTTAGCATGAATGGAAAAGGCGCTTGGGGTGTCAACTCACAAACCTGTAGGATTTGTAACAGGTCTGTTCTCAAGGGTGCTAGCCTGTCAGAGTCTGAGCTGCAGAGTCAGATCTGGTCTTACACGGAGTAAAAAATTTATTCTTGTTAATATCTTATTTTTAAACAATGTTTTTCTTTAAAAATATTTTTTTAATTGATTTCAGAGAGGAAGGGAGAGGGAGAAGGAGAGAGATGAGAGAGAATCATTGGTCGGCTGCTTCCTACACGCTCCACACCAGGGATGGAGCCTGCAACCAGGAATGGAATTGTGACCTCCTGGTTCATGGGTCGATGCTCAACCAGTGAGCCAGGCGGGGTTTGTCAATACCTTTTAAAGGTTGCCCCCCTCCCTCTAATTTGGAAACGCTTCTGGAAAATGATTAAAACCAGGTTACATACTTGAAATGGAAAACAGCACATGCTCCATCATCATATATTCCAGACTTCCCGTCTCCGCGTGTCCTGGCTTTTGTTGGTATGGCTCTAAATCTTTTGTTCAGTTTTTACACATTCTTGGCTTTGGAAATAGTTTGACAAAGTGCTTCCGAGATTATTACTTAAATCTCTCATGCGTTTCAGGTTTGGTATTCTTGACCACTAACAGACTCTTCGGGGGATTTTTAAGGGCTGTCCCTTACCCTCAGAGAACACAAAACCTTTGGCCTAATTAAAAGGATTGTGTGAGGGCCGAATTTTTTTCCTTCCTAACACAGTGCGGTCATTTAAGGACATCCTATGTATGTGCACGTACACACACATGTTCTCAGAGCTCTTGTACTGCTCTGTATGGATGTGTCGGTGTAAAAATAAGTTTATTGTCATAAGAAAATGTCCCTTTCTCTAGATTTGGTGCTTACCAAAACTCACCATTTCTATTGCTACGGAACAAAAACTTCCAAGGAGGAGCAGGGGCTTTGTTAAAATGTGTGGAACCAGGCTCACCCTGTCTGTGCTGTTGATGGGGAGTAGGAAGCTGGGTTGGGCAGTCTGGCCTTGACTTAGGAAGGCTTACATCCATCTCGCCCTGTGGGCAAACCACTGGATTAATCAAATGTGCCTCATCTGCTGCAGCTCCCATGGCGAGAGGCCAGCTGTCTTGGAAAAGGCCAGTAGGGGCATCCTGATCTGGATGGACTGGAAGGAAAGACCTGGAAAAGCCAAAGAAGACTGTCAGGAACTAAAGGCCTAAGGCACCTGAGGCTGTAAGAAGTGACAGAGAAGGAAATCTTCGCGGTTGTTCCGAACACGTTAATTCCTATAAACTCCTGAGTAAACACAGAGTAAATGAGTCTGCACTTCCACAGACACGGACTCTAATGCCTCACAGTAAGCGAAACTTCCTTTTGTAAGAACACTTCGAGTGTCAAGTGTATTATATACAGAAGCCTCATTTATAGAAGATGCCTCAAAAAAAGTGCCCGGCACATCCCCAGTAGGGGGTGTGCAGAAGGCAGCTGATTGATGCTTCTCTCTCATCGATGTTTCTAACTCTATCCCTCTCTCTTCCTCTCTGTAAAAAAATCAATAAAAATGTATTTTAAAAAAGAAAAGTAGACACGGTATACTCGTTACAGCTTACAAGTCATGGCAGCTGTGCAGGGAGGTGTTTTGACAGAGGGTGGGTGCCTCGGGTCCCCAGGACCAGATTACCAGCAATAGGGGTTAGGGGTTGTAAGGAGCAAGTGCATTTTTTCAGACATGAAGTTGTAAATCTTTCTATAATGATATGCAGTTCTCTAGACAGGAGGATGGACTGCACTCAGATGTTAGCTCCCATTCTCAAGACATACAACTCCCAACCAGGTTAAAATATGCTTTTTTAAATAAGAACAAAACAATCATGGTTAAGAGCATGATTAATAATTCTTATTTTATTTCTTATAACTAATAGCTAGGCCCAATATTATATTTCTGCCCCTAACACAACTGTGTCTGCTAGCTGGCAATTATGGATGTTTGGATTCATTCCTTTCAGAGACTGGGAAACAGAGGCTCTATCCTTCCTGGAGATTATATTTCAAAAGCAAACTTTTCAATTCCTTGAGAAAGACATTTCTAAGTTGTAAGCAATACATTTATATCTCAAAGTGAAAGAGGAAGGATTCACAATTCTAAGTCCTTTTTGGTAAATTCTATAAGAAAGAGCAGTCAGAGGCCTATAAGCTGTTGGCTAGAAAAACAGTAAATTCTCCTAGGACTGGGGTCATTACAGTCATCACCGTTGCAAGAAGTCATGCCAAAGTTTGTTCACATTTTAGTGCAGAAGTTTGGAGAGAGCTGTTATGTGCTGAGAATTCTGTAGCTTTCCACTCTCATCCATTACCAATGGGAGTGCAAAAGTACAATGTCTTCGGAAAACAGTTTGATAGTTTCTTTTATAAAGGTAAATTTGTAATTACCATGCAACCTTGCAATCCCACTCCTAGGTATTTACCAAAGATATGTAAAATTTATTTTCATTAAAAAACCCTGCTTTTTGGGGGGGGGGGGGGGAAGTGCCCGGCCGGTGTGGCTCAGTGGTTGAGTGTCAACCTATGAATCAGGAGGTCACGGCATGATTCCTGGTCAGAGCACATGCCACGGTTTTAGGCTCAATCCCCCATGGAGGCATGCAGAAGGCAGATAATCAATGATTCATCATCGATGTTGCTATCTCTCCCTTTCCCTTCTCTCTGAAATGAATTTTTTAAGTGGTAAAATAATTTTAAGCCATAACAAGACTACCAAGTGATTCAGATTATGGGGACCTGTGTGCTGGCCCCTTCCAGGACGTGGGAATAGAGTGGTGAACAACAGAAGTCCCTGCCCTGGTGAAACTTACATTCAGACAGGGAAGGCAGACCATAGACACATCACTGAGTGTAAGTGCCATGAATACAAACCAAATGAGGTGAAGGTACAAAGAGGTGACGGGGAGGAAGGCAGAGGTGACAGTTGTGCAAGACCTGGATCTGAACTGGGGCATGCTTGGAGTGTGACAGGAGCAGAGCAGCAAGGAGGCCAGCCTGGCTGGAACAGTGAGGGCCACGGGGGAGGCGTGGGGGCCGATGGGGGCCGATCTGGTAGGGACCTGTCGGCCAAGGTAAGCTTGAATCTGAAATCCCCTTTTGTT